CTATTTTCATAGGTCTTTCTAGTTCTCATTATTCCTTTCTACCAAAAATGGAAAGTCTGTTATTCTAATCAGACCTGAATCAATCCCCATCACAGCCCACAAGAAAACTTCCATTGGCCTCAAGAGGAACGGAATATTTCTGTAGTGTTAGAAGCCATAAAAACGGAGGCGTAGCCGTGTTACTCTGAAACTTCAACAACAATGGGTTTCTGATATGTCCACTCCAATTCAACTGATGAAGTGGGTTTTGCTCTCAAACGCTCACAATTTTATATATTTTGTCTCAAAGGGCTAGCCATGTTAGTCAGTAACTTTAAAAATGAGTAGTCCTGTGGCATCTTAGAGACTAACAACAATATTTATAGTATCATGAGCTTTCGTGGCCAAAACCCACAGATAGCCGTGGTTTTGCCCACGAAAGCTCATAATAGTATATATATATTTGTAAGTCTCAAAGGTGCCACAGGATTACTCATTGTCTATATATTTTGGGTGAGTCTACACAGTGCAATTATTTCAAAATAACGAACGTTATTTCGAAATAACAATAGGAGCGACTACACCGCAATTCTGTTATTTCGAAATAAATTTGAAAAAGCAGACAGCTTATTCCAACTTCTGTAAATCTCATTCTATGAGGAATAACACCTCTCCTACAATAGCTGTTTTGAAAGAAGGCGTGTGTAGATGCTCCACTGCTGCTATTTCGGAATAGCCTCTGACCAGGGCCTTTCTAAGTTATTCCTCCCCAATGCCTCCTGGGGCTCTAAATCGAGATAGCATGTCTACATTAGGGAAGCCTGCCTCGGACTAATTTGGAAGTTTCCTTGCAGTGTAGACGTGCTATTCTAAAATAAGCTATTTCAGAGTTTTTCTTTCGGAATAGCTGATTCGGAATAGTGATAGAAATGTAGCTGCGTTAGTCTGGTGTAGCTGAAACAAAAAACAGGACTGTGTAGCACTTGAAAGACTAACAAGCTGGTTTGTTAGATGATGAGCTTTTGTGGGCCAGACCCACTTCCTCAGATCACATAGTGGAAGAAAATTGGCACAACCTTTGGTATATAGGGTTGTGACAATTTTCTTCCACTATGGGATCTGAGGAAGTGGGTCTGGCCCAGGAAAGCTCATCACCTAATAAACCATCTTGTTAGTCTCTAAAGTGCTACATAGTCCGGTATTTTGATTCCGAAATAAGTGTGCTGTGTAGAGGTACCTTAAGGTGCCAGCGGACCACTCCTTGCTCATAAAAACTGAGCTAAGTTTGAGCTCCTATGCGGAACGAGGGGACAACCAAAATATTCCAGGGACAGAAAACGCACCGATGGGTTCCCGTCACAGCTTTTGCCGGGTTTCCACTAGGCTTGGTGCTTTCCTTTTTTAACATTATGCTTCCAAGCCCTCTGGTTGCGAAGGGAACCTTCAAAATGTAAACAGCAGCGGTGTTGTCTTGATGAGTCAGCCGAGCCCGACATGCGAGCACCCAGCGAAGTGCAAACTTTCCTCCTTCCTCTTAATGGGCTGATAACGTGCGAGGCTCATTAGGATCACTCACGTGTCAACACAGTGAGTTTTTTTGCAGTGCTGGTCCCCATACCTGAGCCGATCAGGTGGTGGGGTCATCTCGCGGGGACGCTAACCCCCTGCCCCCCACACTTCGCACCTCATTCCTTTTACAACCCCAAGCAGAGAGCTGTAAGTTTTGACAGCCCACCACGCTTTCCTTTCCGTGGTGTGAGACGGATCCCTCCAGCGAGCTACGGCTCTGACCCCCTTTCCTCCGGGTTTCTAGGGTCCGTGATTCATTGTTTTCGGGAGCAGAGCAATTGTCCTACAGAACCAGACCATCTTGGCCAGGAAGAGCTTCTCTCTCTCTCCACCAGTGACCAGCACCGGTTGCCTGAAAGAAAGAGGGAAGAAACTCTGCCTGAAGGAAGTTATGGATTAACCTGACCACAGGGACAATGTCTTCCTAACGCCTATGGCTCAGGGTTTAGTTTGGACCTTGAAAGCAGGAAGGTTTCATCTTCCACCTTCCCCTCCACTGGACTTCCCTCCGTTAGTTCTGGCTTTCAGCGGGGACTAAGGTGTGGCTCGTTCATGTATTGGAGAGGGGATATTTTTCGGAGTGGAGGGACTCTTCCCTTTTTTCCAGTCCTCTGAGACATGTGAGGAGGCAACAGCTCCCTCTCCTCTAAGTCTTTCCCCAGGTTCCTTGGGGGTGAGCAGCTCCAAGGACAGAGGAGGAGAGATTTTGGGGGGAGCAACCGAGAAACTACCTCGTTGAGGATTTTTTTTTTTTGTCCCTGGCTGGATGGCCAGTCCTAACCAGCCCCTCCATCCCCACGTGTGTGGTTCTTTTCCTGGAGCAGAATCTGATCCAGGAGTCAGGGGTTCCTCCCCCGCCCCTTTGCCTAACCCCAAAGACAAAGAGGGGCATTATCCGCTGCCCCTCCGGGAGGGACCGCAAAGATCCTGTGAACGTCCTGCCGTTGCCTTCAAGCCGAGGGATGATGGATAGGAAATTGCTACCAGGCTCCCTCCCTTCCCCGATGCTCAACTTCAGAGGAGGGCTCCGCTTCACTTGTCTGCGGGAAAGCACCGGTCTTAGTGTGAACGCTCCCCTCCCCCTCTCCAGAAGGCTTCCCTGAGTCCCACGGAGCTCCTGCTGCCCACAAAGCCTTCCCCCAGCTGGAGCATTTCTCGCCCGAGTGGTGAAGAAGAGGTGCTGGGGTGTTTTTTTTTTTTTTGGCTTTCCCTCCAGAAAAACCCCTCTCCAACCACCCAAGGGCTCTTCCTGCTCGCCCAAGCTAATGCACGATCAAAAGGACCTTTAATTTAAACTTCTGCTTCCTCTCCTCGCCAGCCACACTCCGCCACTTGAGGACTAAGGAAATGCCACGGGTGTTACAATACAGGCATGTCCTTGCACGCAGCTCGCGTTTGCATCACTGTATCTATTGATTCCTCCCCTCCCCCAGCCCTAGATGGGTTTGGATTTTCGCCCAAGCTAATGCACGATCAAAAGGACCTTTAATTTAAACTTCTGCTTCCTCTCCTCGCCAGCCACACTCCGCCACTTGAGGACTAAGGAAATGCCACGGGTGTTACAATACAGGCATGTCCTTGCACGCAGCTCGCGTTTGCATCACTGTATCTATTGATTCCTCCCCTCCCCCAGCCCTAGATGGGTTTGGATTTGGCATGGGAAGAAGGCAGGGGAGGGAGCGGGGGTCATTGGCAAGAAGAGGTGGCTTCCGGCTCGGAACTATTTTGGGGGAACCCCTCCCCCCCCCCAAACCGAACCCCTCCACTAAATGCAAAAGCCAGGCGGGGTCCTCACTTCCTCTGCCCTTCCTCGCCTTCAGCATCACCACTCCGTCCCCTGCTGAGCCTGGAGGGACCCTGGCCAAAGGGTGAAATTGTTCTTCCAGGGAGGGGCAAAGTTCTCGGTTTTAGGAGCTCGTTCCCCCCTCCGCGATGAGGAGGCATGAACAACTAGCCACGGCAGAGCCTGGATTTCCGGGAGGAGACTTCAAAATACGTGCCAGAAATGGACAATTCAGGTCCCTTTCCTCCCCCAGCCAACGGGCGCTGGGAACGGGGGGGGGGATTAA